TTTAGGTTAGTACTTTAAGGGATTTGTGGTTCGCTCGCACAAACACACATGCTCGCATGTGCACCTGGAACTGGACATCTCCACTTCGATCGGCCCTTTTTTGCCGGGCACTCAGCAGGTCATCTGAAACTGCTGATTAAAGAGTCTTCGGTACTGCATCAAGACACGGGTCATACTCCGTACTGCCACCAGTCGTGACGATCCAATCCTTCTAGAGATTCGGCTAACCCGGCCCACCATATCTTCGTCGCTCCATGTTGCAAAACCTCGTCAGTATTTGCATGGCTTTGGTTTGAAAAGGATTTATTTCGGGTTGGCTGCAGCTAAGTGACAAATAGCATTGAGGCAGAATTGCGGCAACGAAGCATCGGCAGCTGCACACTGGATTTGTCTCTCCATATTTCTCCTTAAGGCTGGGTTGTAAGTTGTAAGAAGTCATTAAGCTAGTATGGGTAGCACCGGAAAGTGCCATTATTTTAGGATGCTAAACATACCAAGCAGCAGAATATGCCCAAACAGATGAACCTTTGGCCGCATCTTGAACAAAGGCCAGCCTCGTTGAGCAGTCCATCTCGCCATTCCAACATAGCCTTCCTCAGTCATCTTTAGATATCCTACATGGTAGCTACAATACGAGTACGAGCTTGAGCATAATATGTATCCATGCTTCCAGGAAGTTCCACCCGCATTGCACTGCTTCGTGAGCTTCCGACAATGGTAACCAGACCCCATGACCATACAAAATAGTCATGAGCTGGTTCCCTTCCCGCAATAGCCAAAGCAGCAGCTGCAAGCCCTCATTCATATCCTAGGTGCAAAGCATGCAGACAACAAGAAAAGACCTCAATGACCCGACTAAGATTTAACAGAGCCTATGGTTACCAACCGATTCTTGTGCATTCGAAAGAACATCACCCTGCTCATCCTTGACGACAGAAAGCTTTGCAGCCAACCATTTGGCCAGCAAGGACACATCGTAAGCTTTGCCGCAGCCGGTGGGGAATTGCTGCTGCCTGAGCAGACCCGTGGTTAGGGTTGGGTTATGGGGTTTAGGCTTTAGGGGTTTAGGGTTTGGATTGCAACCTTTTTATGGGCCATAGGCTTTACATCAGGTTTGGGATTTATGTAGGGAACCTAGGGGGGACTTGAGGTTCTTTAATCTGGATCAGTGATGTTGCGATTCGATCTTGAAAGTCTTCAAAGTGAATGACTTCAAACTTGTTGTTCGGTGATTCTGGCGGCACCATAAGTGAAAGTCCTCATATGCATTCCCCAGCTTTGCCCCGATAGAGCCACCATCATAGCAGCCAAACCGGCAAAGAAGCAAAATGCCCGAAGCACAAAGGTCCTTTCCGAATCCTAGATTCATGCAGTGAAGCATATCTGGTTGAACACGTACCGGGTCGTCCCCTCCAGGTATAGACCGCAATGGCGACATTCGTCTAAGTTTGTACGGATTGGGGATAGGTCCAGAAAACGTGCGAAGCTGCGATGTTGCACTGCCGTCCCACCAAGCCTTATGTTGATCATGATAATTAAGATAATTCTGGAACACACTACATAGACATATATATGGGTTTAGGGTTCAGGGTTCAGGNNGTTTAGGGTTTATAGGTTTCAGGATTGGCCAGAAGGACAGCTTGCTGGGTCAATCCAAGCTTCTTCCCCCGGGCACAGGTGACACTTCCGTTTAGAGCTGTACCCTACCTGCAGGTGGTATGCTTTACGAACATATGGCCAGTCTCCCTTGGCCCCCACAAATGCCACCCAGAACGTCATGGGCTTGCCTCGGACCTTAGGATGAACAGGGTTCTTAGTTTTGAACATGCACTTCTGATAAAGGTTTATGGGGCAGGATTCATAAAGGATTTAGGTTTTAGTGTTGTGATTTGTATGAGCTAGCCCATAAATTTTAATACAGTACAGGAGCATGATTTGACAAGTGGAAGATCCAAAAGATTTCTATGTGATCAGCTTGGCTACCTGAACAGTTACTCCTCGTTCAAAGAGCTCAATGAACTCAGCTGCGATTGCTTCGTGCAGTCCATCGATCGTTTTCTCGTTCGGGGCATAACAGGACCCAGGCATGATGGAATGCAGAAGCCTCGTACAGTAGGAGTGCCTTGGATGCTCGAGGAAATGCTCATATATTATTTCTTGATTGCATGGTTTAGACTAGCCAACAGAAATTAGGGTTTAGGGTNNGGGTTTAGGGTTTAGGGGTGTAAGATATCTCCCAGGAGCCCATGCGTGTTCAGGTGATCCTCGCCCAGCCAGGGCACCACACACTGGAAGTTGGTAACGAGCACCGGTACTTTGGCCAAGCCCCTGCCCTCATCACCATGTAAGCACATGGGTATCGTGCGGGCTCGATCCTGTGCCGTCTTCTTAAAAACGTGATGCGATTCATTGGTCGGGCGAAACCTCTCCCAGAATCTGCTGAACACGTTTTCAAAGCCAAGTTCCCAAGTGTGATACCCAGCTAGCAAGAACTGACCACCAGCTTTGCCCAAAATGAACTCCATCCAGTCAGTGAGGCGAAGGATGGGATAGTTCACATCCACACATCCACCTCCTTTTCTTCGAATTTTCAATTCTGTAGTGGAGATGGGGATCGGCAAAGTTTGCCCTTCTCGATGAACGAATTTGTGTAAGTTCCGAGCAGCATTGTGGTACTTGCCAGCCCCCAAGCGGCCGATCCGGTCCATCTCTGGGTCGATGACACCTATAGGGCATCGAGATTTGGGTTGGGCACGGGTTTAGGGCTTGTGCGTAGATATTGATATCTGGGGAATTTAAAGCTTCGGATGAAAGGTTATGGGCTTCTGGAACTGATTATACCTGCTGTGTTCGACAGCTGGGTTTCGGGTACTTAGGCTTAGCTTTGGCTCGGGGTTTTAGTGCTTTAAGGTTATCTTGCCTTTCGAGTTTCGGGCTTGGGGCGGATAGTTATTTGTGCTGGGTTTGTTTAGGTTGGTCCAGCCTAGGTTCTTCATTCGTCTTGTAGCGATGGCAGCCATCCGGACCACAGATTTGGCGTCTGCCTTATGTTTGGGGCATAACATCATGAATCTGAATGCAGCCATTAGCTACATTAGGTCAAGGAGCTCCTCGCTCCATACTCATCATCAAAGCATCGGCAAGGTCATCACTGCACTCCGAATCAGAACCTTAGCGAAAACGTCGGCGCTTTGCGGGTACGACCGAAACCTAACCGAATGAGGCCTGGACCCTCGGGGCAAGATGCTTCTGCTGGCGGTGCAAGGCCTGCGTGGGCTATTTGGTTCTAGGGTTTAGGGTTTAGG